CACCTTTTTTTATTGAGATGTATATTCTGTTAAAAATAGGTTACTTAGTTCTATGTATATAAGCAGATGTTTTTATTTCCAAAATAATTCATTGGGTTTGTGTGAAATCAGCAGAACACTATGAGAGCCAAATTAGAAATTTTTTGGATTTGCCAGTTGAGATGCTTTTGCTTAGCATGATATTGTGATGAAAAAATCGAATTGGACTTTTGTGATATTACAGTTTTTAGTTTGAGATGCAACTTCTCACAGCTCATTCATGCTTTTTGTCTCAGTGATATAAATAGCAAAGAAAAATTAGAAATTGTACATGTTGGAGGCCTAGAGTTTTATGTAGTTAACTGCTTTTCATGTATTCCAAGAGGAACGCCTGTAGTTCTCAGATAACATGTGAGATGTCTCTCCTGCACACATACATGCACATCTCCACAGCCAGTGGCCTTTTAAACTCACTAGTTTGCTGGTAGGGCAAAGATCAGGCTCTTTCATTTATGGTGCCAAGAATATCTACACTTGTTTGTCTTCCAATCTGAAAAACATACACCTTACCCTAACACTGTTGATGCAGTCAAAACCACTGACCGGGTTTTGTAATTGATTTCGTAGACCTGGAGGTGTTTTGATAGTCAATATCTTTATAATCAAAACAGCTGGTCTGAAACAGTGATTGGAGTGCTCTGGTATCCTGGATACCTAGAAACTTGTGGCTAGGAAGACGCTAATGTTTATCCTTGTGCCATCTGGAATATAGAAGAGGGTGGCCCATCCAGCTGCCCAACCTCCCCGACTACACGCACCCCATAGCAGTAAATGGAAATGGGGCCACCGTTCTCCTGTGGCAGGGCACCGTCAGCAGGAGCAGCACTACCAACTGCCACGCACGCACCGTCTAGTGAGTTCCTATTGCAGCTCTGCTTGCTCTGCGAGATCCTCTGCTATTGGCAAGTCACGGGACATCACTGGGCACAGAATTGCCCACTGCTGCCTCAGAGAGGTTTCACACATGTTTTGAGGATGCTACTTCTCCAGCAAGGAAAATATCTAATTTCTGAAGTATATAGGAAATTAATGTCAAATTCAACTTGTTTCTAATTTTTGCAATGTGAGAAATTCTGTGATGGCTGGGCTCATCTGTGTTACTTGCATTGTGTCTGACAGGTTGGGGCCATGTCACACATACTTTTTTGTAAAAAAAAAAAAAAAAAAAAAGCTGTGCAACAGATTTCTTGATGACAAATTCGATAAAGAATCATTTTTTTTTTTATTCATTCAGAAAGCAGAGAGCAACCGAGAGCTGGATCTCCTCTGCACTGCCATTGCCCAGATGTCTGCAACAGTTGGGGTTGGTTAGGCTGAAGCCAAGAGCTGGCAACTCAGTCCAGGTCTCCCTTGGGTGTCAGGGACCCAAGTATTTGAGCTGTCACTTCCTGCCTCTCAGCAAGGCATCAGCAAGAGTTGAGGCAGAACTGGAACCCAGGCATTCCAGCACGGGGTGGAGCTGCACCAAGCTCACCTGAACGTGCCAAACGCCCTCACGGACAAATCAGTTTCAAGCATTTTTTTTTTCCTGGTCCTTGGTGATTAACACCTAAAGGAAAATAGAATTGAGAGTGATTCCTTTAAATGTAGAAAAATTTTGTTTATAAACTAAAGATGTAACATACACTTTACTATAATTCAGTGAATTCCTAAATGCTGCCCCATAATGTCGTCACAGGCTCACAGTGAGATTTAAAAAAATATTATAATACATTGTTTGTCACAAGGTTTAAATCAAAGACCTGTCCTTCCCTCAAAAATTGACCTTTGCCATTTCTGAGGTTAAAATACATTATAATGCCTTCATTGACCCAAAGAAAGTTGCCAATGCTATCCCGGCTCCCCAGGTTATTGAAAAACATCTTACTGATTTATGAATTCTTTTTTTTTAAGATTTATTTATTTTTTTATTTTTTTTTTTTCATTGGAAAGGCGGATATACAAAGAGGAGAGACAGAGAGGAAGATCTTTTGTCCGATGATTCATTCCCCAAGTGAGCGCAACGGTCGATGCTATGCCGATCCGAAGCCAGGAGCCTCTTCTGGGTCTCCCACGCAGGTGCAGGGTCCCAAAGCTTTGGGCTGTCCTCGACTGCTTTCCCAGGCCACAGGCAGGGAGCTGGATGGGAAGCGGGGCTGCTGGGATTAGAACCGGCGCCCATATGGGATCCCAGGCGTGCAAGGCGAGGACCTTAACCACTTGCGCCACCGCGCTGGGCCCTGATTTATGAATTCTAACCTGTGGAGACTCCCTTACTTTTGTTCTTTTTGTAAGATTTATTTATTTATTGAAAAGCCGGCGTGTTAGAGAAGGAGGGAGAGGAGGAAGTGTGACAGAGGAGAGGGAGACAGAGAGACACATCTTCCATCTGATGGCTCATTCCCCAAATGGCTGCCACTGCCGGGTCTAGCCCAGGTGGAAGCCAGGAGCCAGGAACGCCAGGTGGTCTTCCTCAGGGGCGGCAGGAACACAGGCATTCGGGCCGTCATCTGTTACCTTCCACGTGCATTAGCAGGAACCAGGAGCATCTGGGCCTGGAAACCTGTACTCTGATACGGGTGGCTGGCAATGTATGCAGCAGCTTAAACCTCTGTGCCACAACGCTGCTCCCTGGCAAGTGTCAACACACGACTGACTACAAAAGCACACACCTTCCACAATTTTCTTTCAGGAATCTACAGACGAAATGCATGCCGATGAATAGTATAACCCTGGCCTCACTGCTCTGCGTGAGAACCTTGGTGAACACATGCTGAACGGCTGTTTCGCCCTGCTGGTAGCGCTTTGCACTGTGTCCTGCAACCATTACACTGCCCCACCGAGGAAGACCCATGATTATCTCGGCTTTACAGAGGAGCCACTTGAGGCATGCTCAAATCCTAAAAGATACAACTATGGATGTGGCAGAGTTGGGATTCAAACCAACAGCACCACAGGATATATTCTTATATAACAAAGGCAATCAGTAAAAACAAAAATCAATAATTACTGTACTCTGAGTATGAAAATAGAGGCTCAATTAGCCTAGATTATGAACTCCAAAGTCATATTGAAGTTAGTTCTTACTTTCTCAACCCTGGTCCTGACCTATTTTTAGGTCACTATTTACACAGATATTGCCTCAAGCAACATTCTGGTTCAGTTCCTGTTTTGATAAGCAAATTTAAGAAACCAAACAAGAAAATATGGTTACAGCCAATGGAGCATGTCGAACAGCAGGCACTCAAAGCACAGCACCCATTAACTTGGGTTTACTTAGCAAAAATTCAGCAGCACAGCTAACAAATAAATACATAAATGCCTTTCCGTTTGCTTAAGTACTGCATAAGACAGAATATAAATCCCAGACATCCATTCCGACAACAGCTTCAACAGCACAAATCTTGGTGGGCACACGCCTATCCCTTGCAGTTGCAAACTCAACTGGTAACAGCAATTGGGCAAGTCCGTGTGTCAGGAAGTCAGTTCATGAGATCAAAAGCATAGCAGGTGATTCAAACCGCATACGCTGGGTACACGGTGACAAGAAAAGCAGAAGACAAAAACCAAGAACCAAAAACATGCTTCTAAATATGCAGCGGTCACAGGCAGTAAGTTCAGCCCTGAACCTCGACAACACTTTGGGTAATGGTAAAATGATCCATCCGGCATTCTGATATTCTATTCGACACCCTGTAGCCAAATACTGAAGCTTATTCAGAAAGTCGTTTTACTTTAATGGCAATGAAAAACCGGTGCTGACATCAAGAAGCCCTGGAGCTCCTAGAAAATACCAGCAAGTGCACAGGTCCTGAGGTTCTGCAGTTTCAGCAACTTGGTCACCTCTGATCCTCCCCGCGGTGCCCGTGCGCGGGGCTGCCTCCCACTCCCACCCGTGGATCTCGTGTGCGGGGCCGCCTCCCACGTCCACCCGTGTTTCCCGGGCGCGTGGGTGCCCACTCCCACCCGTGGGTCTTGTGCGCGGGGCCGCCTCCCACTCCCACCCCCACCCGTGGGTCCAGGGCACAGGGCCACCTCCCACTCCCACCCGTGGGTCTCGTGCGAGGGGCCGCCTCCCACTCCCACCCCCACCCGTGGGTCCAGGGCACAGGGCCACCTCCCACTCCCACCCGTGGGTCTCGTGCGAGGGGCCGCCTCCCACTCCCACTCCCACCCGTGGGTCTCGTGCGCGGGGCCGCCTCCCACGTCCACCCGTGTTTCCCGGGCGCGTGGGTGCCCACTCCCACCCGTGGGTCTTGTGCGCGGGGCCGCCGCCCACCCCCACCCACCCGTGGGTCTTGTGCGCGGGGCCGCCTCCCACACCCACCCGTGGGTCCAGGGCACGGGGCCGCCTCCCACGTCCACCCGTGGTTCCCGAGCGCGCGTGGGCGCCCACTCCCACCCGTGGGTCGTGGGTGGCGCGCCGAGCCCACTCCCACCCGTGGGTTCAAGGGTGCGTGAGTGCGCGCACTCCACCCAAACGCCGTGTCCAGCCCTACGACTCCAGCTCCCGACTCCTCAGCTAACTCCGGCACAGACCTTCTCCAGTCGGAGCTCTGGTTCCCCAGCCCTAGAAAAAGCACGGCCACCTGTGGTGACACGGAGCCACAGCCCTCCCGGACCCCACGCTCCTCCCTCCTCCCACCCCACCGGGGCGCGTGTGGCGACCGCCCGCTCAACCGCCCCCGCCCCCTGGCGGCCCCGTGACCAGGGAGCACCAATCGGCAGCCCGCTCCTCCCGCCCCCGGCGCGGCCCCGCCCCGCCCCGGCTCGGCCCCGCGCGCCGCCCGCCCGTTCTCCTCTCGCGAGAGCCGCGCGTCCCCGCCGCGGCGGCCCGCCTCCCCTCCCGTCCTCCCGCCCCCTCCCCCACCTCGCCGCTCTCGGCTCTCCTCCCTCCCTCCTCCCCCCTCCGCCCTCGGGGCCGGATCTCGTCTCGCTGAGGCGGAGGAGGAGAAGGAGGAGGAGGAGGACGTTCGGCCTGCGCAGTGAGATGTTTGTCCGTCGCCGCCGCCGCCGCCATCGCGGAGGAGCGCGATAAAGGCCGCCGAGCCGGGCGTGAGGGGCGCCCCGCGGAGCCGCCGCGCCGGCGCAGCGCCTCGGCCGAGCCCGCCGAGCCGCGGGAGCCGCCGGAGCCCGAGCCCCGAGCCCGAGCCCCGGCCCGAGCCCCAGCCGCCGCGTCCGCGGCCGGCCAGCCGCCCAGCTCCGCCCGGGGGCCGCGCCGCCGCCGCCCCCAGCGTCGCCCCCCGCCTGCCCAGCCGCCCTTCGATGTGACACCGGCGCCTCGGAGTGCGAGCCGCAGCCGCCGCCGGGGACGGGGCCGAGCACCATGTCGAATCTGAGCAAAGGCACGGGCAGCCGGAAGGACACCAAGATGCGGATCCGGGCCTTTCCGGTGAGTCTCCCCTCGGCGCCCGGGACCCCGCGGCCCGGAGCCGCACGCGAGGCCCGGGTCGGACTCCCCGCCGACAGGCCGCAGGCCCGGGTCCCCTCCCCCACGGCCGGTCCCCGTCCCCGTCCCCGTCCCCGTCCCCTTCCCCGGCCCCTTCCCCGGCCCCGGCCCGGCGGCCCCGCGCGTCCCCGGGGTGCAGGCCCAGCCCCGCCGCGCACGGCCCCCGAGCCTGCAAGTGTGGCCGCCGTGCTAACTTTGCGCGTGTGCGTGATGGAGAGGGCCGGCCCTGCCGTGACAGGGCCCCACGCAGTGCTCCGTCCACGGGGGTCGCCGCCGGCATCCCGCTCGCCCGCAGGGCTCCGAAGGAAGCAGCCGGGGATGGGGGGAGGGCATGCGGGTCGCTCGCTTTTCCCTTTCCCGGTCGCGGGAGCCCCCCAAAGAGTGCCGTGGGCAGCACCCCCAGGTGCTGCACTCCCGTCGGTGTGGGTGGCAACCAGCACTTGGTCCAGAAACTTACTTTCTGGCGTTCCATGGAGCCCGACGCTCGCGGCGTTGAGCACAGAGGCAGGGCACGGCTGGAGGTGGCCTACGTGGTGGGAATACCTGTGACAAGCAATTACCTCGCACTGATGTAGCAGGAACTTGACAGACCTGCTCCAGTCGCTACAGTAACTGGCCCCGTGGAGGGAAGGTTGGGAAAAGCAGAGCTGGAGGAAGAATTTGCCCCTGAGAAGCCTGAGCATAGCGCGAGGGGCTGGGGAGCACTGGTGTGTTTACTTTCAGGCTAGACTTCAGTCCCTTACTGTCATTGCCCCCACGGAATTCGGCCTAGCGTATTGCAAGACTTCAATTCTTAAAATTGAAGAGAATACACCTGCTGGGGAGTTCAGGTCGAGAGACACCAGTGTCGCTGTGCCCCTTGTCTCTGGCCGTCGGGCGGTGGGAAATGCTGACAGTGAAATGCTGTGAGTAGGTGGGGGCGCTCAGCAAGTGGGGAAGACAAATTGGCTAACGTGCTTGCAGGAAGTTTACTAGCAGTGTTGCCCCTTACGAATTGGAGTAATGTTAATTTTTCTGTTAAATCAAGTCTAACCAATTTTAAAAGCAGAATTTAGAATAAATGTATTCCCAGAGAATAAAATGTTTATGGTTGTGTGTTTAGGTACACATTCAACAGGGGTTGTACTTTACATATACCATTTGGAGATAAGGTTACAGTAGGAACATTTTTTTGAAGCTAAAGTATCAAGTACCCATTTCAGATTATGTCTTATAAAACTGATCTGTAAAAAGTAGAAAGACAGGTGTTGGCCTTATTTTGTTTTTAATTACAAAAATAGAGCCGTAAGCAAATTTGCAGAATGTTTTATTTACTTTTTTGTGTTTTGAGTTCTTTGAGAGAGCGCTGCCTTTCCTGGATTGTTGCCTGAAAACCTGCAACTGCTGGGGCCCAAGCTGGGGACACACTGCAGGGCTCCCACAGGTGGCTGGCACCCAGGCCTTGCCCGCCAAGCCAGGAACTGGGGCGCTCAGTCTGGCCTCTCCTAAGTATTGTTTTTAAGATTTATTTTGTTTGTTTGGAAGGAGAGCTGGAGAGAAAGGGAGAGAGGAAGAGAAAGAGCTCTTGCACCCGCTGGTGGTCCACTGTCCAAGTGACCCGGACTGGACCAGGCCAGGCAGAAAATCTGCCCGGGTCGCCCATGTGGAAGCCTGAAACCACTTTTTCGCCGCCATCTGCCTTTTCCTGGGTGTGTGAAGCCGGGAGCTGCATGGGAAGTGGAGCTGCCCAGCAGCAGTCTTACCTGCTCCACAACGACTCAGCCGCCTCCATTGATGGCGTCTTAACTACTATGCTAAATGCTTGTTCCCTGAGTACGTTTAGAAGCTATCACTGTCCACAAGAGTGGAAATTACACTGTAGTGCAGTTGGTGTGCAATTTTTAAAGTAGACCTATTCTAAGAAAAACTTTTTTAATGTGGAAAGCAATAATAAGGAAATTTGTGTTAACAATGGAAGTTTATTCCAGTTTGTAACCTTGCCTGCATTATAAAGTGTCGTTTACATCTTTATTGACAATATTTAATAGCTTTTCTTTACAAAGCTCTAAATTTATTTCTTTTTTTTTTAAGATTTATTTTTCTATTGGAAAGTCAGATATATGGAGAGGAGGAGAGACAGAGAAGATCTTCCATCTGGTGATTCACTCCCCAGAGTGGCCGCAGTGGTCAAAGCTGAGCCGATCTGAAGCCGGGAACCAGGAGTTTCTTTAGGTCTCCCACACAGGTGCAGGGTCCCAAGTCTTTGGGCCGTCCTCGACTGCTTTCCTAGGCCACACGCAGGGAGCTGGATGGGAAGCGAAGCTGCCTGGATTAGAATAGGTGCTCATATGGGATCCTGGCGCAAACAAGGTGAAGACATATGGGATCCCGGCGCAAACAAGGTGAAGACTTAAGCCATTAGGTTACTGCGCTGGATCCAACAAAGCTCTACATTTTTCCAGTACAGGAGACTAATAGTTATACTTGCTGGAAATAGTTACTGGTTTGGACCCAGTATCTCTACCCTAAGAGGACCCACCCTGGCTCTTTGCAAATATTTTGTTCCAGTCTGTAGAGTTGGAGGCTGTGAGGTGACATACTATCCTTACCTTTGAAAAGGGTTTCTTACCATCTGTACTGTCTGGGGTTTTGTCTTAATGGGCTTTACAGACTAGGTGTGAGTTGGTGGAGGCCTGTTTGGCTTGACAAGCTGTACTTGTTGCCTTTCTTAGGTTAGCCTTCCGTGTTCAGGAGGCGTCACTGTGGGTAACTGCCTTCAGAGTGAGGGCGGGCCCTTAGAGCTGTATGGGCATCCTGGTAATAGCTTTAGTGTTGGTTTGCAAGGTATGCTAAGTCAGGATGGTGATGGTATCTGGGTGTGAGATCACTGCATGTGTGGTTCCAGGTGACCCGATGGCTTAGCATGGAGAGAGAATGGTGTGGAGGCGATTGTCAGGGGGAACCCCCAGAGTGCTTGGCAGCAGTGGAAGAGTGGTTTTAGGTTATCTGTTACACATTTTGGAGCAAGAGGAGACAAAGGACAAAGAGGGACAGCTCAGTGTGTTTTTCTTTTTGGTCCGCTTATTTTATTTTTCTTCTACCTGGGATCACTATCTTTGGGAAACGACTGTGCTCTCTAACGGGGTGTGTGAGTAGGAAGTTGGAGCATGGAGCTACCTGGACTGTAACCTCCAAGGGAGCTGAGAAACAGGCTGTGAGTCACAGAGCAGGGCCGTCACTCTTGGCTTATTTGTCGTTGTCCACCTCATCTTCTTGGACAGATTATGAAGTAAGTTCTAACAGGTCCCTGGGAATGTTGCTTACAGTGGGCCAGTTTTTTCTTGTGTAGCATTACTGGGACAGCCAGCTGCACCACAGTTGGTGTTACATCCCTGTTTTAGAAAGCAGAAGAAGAAAAGGAATATAGTTATTAACAAGCAGTGTTTGGTGCTAGTTGAGGGGAATCTTAACAGAATTACTGCATTTGAGGCTCTTTTTGTAGTATAGAATGTAATGTGAAAGTTTGGCTATTTGGATAATGTATGTTAATTGGAGTTTATTCAAACAAGAAAAAGTTTCATTTGTATGTCATTGTTAAATGCAGCTAAAGTAATAATAGCACTGTCCAGTTTAGGAAGATTATATGCTATTTTTTTTTTTTCCCCCTAAAGACAGAGTAGATGAAGATGGAGAGAGAGGAAGGGAGAGGGAGAGAGATCCTCCATCTGCTGGTTCATTCCCCAGATGGCCACAGCAGCCAGAGCTGAGCTGATCTGAAGCCAGGAGCTTCCTCTGGGGCTTTCAAGTGGGTACAGGGGCCCAGGCTCTTGGGCCATCCTAGCTGCTTTCCTGGGCCTTAAGCAGGGAGCTGGACCAGAAGTGAAACGTCTAGGACATGAGCCAGGGTCTGAATGGGATGCGGGGGCTGCAGGCACTGGCCTCCGGAAAGGTGATATTCTTCACACTAGAAAAAGCAGTATACTTTCCTTTTGTATTATGAATTAGGGAGGCCTTGGAGTTATTTTGTTGTTGTTCTTTTAGGAATATACGGATGGTCTTTAAGAATTTCGTTATGTATGTTACTGCATACCTTGTGGTTGTAAATGACTCAACTTGGAAAACAGTTCTTTTTTATCCTTTGTAATGTCAGTAAAAGTATGTTTTTAGTAATTGAGTCATTATGATAAAAGTAATAAGTATTTAATAATGTGTTGTGCAAATTATTCAGTCAAAACAATGAATTCATTTAAGACTTTTAAATTATGAAAGTTGTATAAGGGGCTGGTGCAGTGGAATTGTAGGTTAGGCTTCTGGCTACAGCTCCGGCATCCCATATGAGCACCTGTTTGGGTCCAGGCTGCTTGCTTCCAATCTAGCTCTCAGCTTGTGGGCTGGGAAAGCAGTGGAGGCTGGCCCAAGTGCTTGGGCGCTTGCCCCTAATTGGGAGACCCAGAAGAGGCCCTTGGCTGTGGGTGTGGACTAGCCCAATTCTAGCCATTGTAACCATTTGAGAATTGAGCCAGTGGATAGAAGATCTCTTTGTGTTTCCTCTTTCTGAAACTCTGCCTTTCTAATAAAAATAAACCTTTTTTAAAGTGAAAAATAAATTTAGAAATGTTTTCAATATCAAAATTTTTTTAAGATTTATTTTTATTATTATTTTTTTATTGGAAAGGCGGATATACAGAGAGGAGGAGAGACAGAGAGGAAGATCTTTGGTCCTATGATTCACTCCCCAAGTGAGCGCAACGGCTGATACTGTGCCGATCTGAAGCCAGGAGCTTCTTCCGGGTCTCCCATGTGGGTGCAGGGTCCCAAAGCTTTGGGCCGTCCTCGACTGCTCTCCCGGGCCACAAACAGGGAACTGGATGGGAACAGGGGCTGCTGGGACACAAACTGACGCCTATATGGAATCCTGGTGTGGGCAAGACAAGGACTTTAGCCACTAGATCACCATGCTGTGC